CTTGTAAGTTGTAACTGAATAATTTGATTTTGAGAACTTGGGTAAAGCATAGCTGGCCTGATTCCTTCGCCTGTAGAGATTGATTGGATCTCATAGGTCCAAAAAAATTTTATAAATTGCACTCCTTCAAAGGTTCTGATGGATTGATTGAAAGAGAATGATTGGTTTAGCAGTTGGCTGATGGACATTATCCAATAGTTCTGGGTTTTGGACAAAACAAGTGTCTGGATAATGCATTAATGTGGATCAACGAGATCCCCACTGATGGAGTGGAATGGCAGGGTATTAGATATAAATGAGTAGTTCTATACATTGAGACCCTGTTTGGGTGGTACCAGTAAGGAAAATCGTAATGTTGTTCAGTTTCAAACAAATCTAAAATCTGAATTAATTTCATCGCACGGTTCTGCTACCAATCATTAGAGGATCCATCTTCGATAGTGAATCTATGGTATAGGAATAAAAATCATTTCGTTTCATGTTAAACAACATTTGCTTTGAATTACTGAAAATATGGAGACACTCTAAACAACGTGTGCTGAAAGCCTGAAACAAGGTGATTATCTTCCGTTTCAGAATTTTAGGGACCATGAAATTTATTAGAGAAAAAAATGAGGGGAAAAGAGAACGATGATTCAATTATCTGCTCTCTCATTAAGTCATGATTCATGAGCGCACTACCCTATTTATTACTCATTAGTTAGAAAATTCAGACAAGTTCTTAGAATTTCAGTCCATCATAGTGCAAATTTTCCATTTTCTTGTCATATGAATTATGAACCCATATCCTCTCTGCACTTGCTCACCCCTTCCATCAACTTGCTTTTGCTTCGCTTTATCGTGTAGCTCATTGGTATCTGCACACACTACCATATCAGACCATCTCAGAGACAGATTTTCAGTATGTTGCTGCATGGACATCCACCTCTTAGAATTTATGATCTTATTGCATCTGTCAATTACTTTCATGATCAGGGGTATAAAAATTTGCATCAATATCGAAATTATCGAGTAACAATGAATATGATGGCATTGGAGCTCGTCCTCTGTCATTATACTATTCAGATCATTGTTCACAATACTTGATTGGCTTTAACTTTCCCAAAGGAAGTCGGTAACATGCTTGGCATATGGCTGTCAACCAGAGCCAAAGTTCCTATTTCGCACACCGTAACACATTGGCTGATAGATGGCAAATTAAGCAATAAGCACTAAGCAATAATAAAACCATAAATAAATTAAGCAATTCAACAAACCCAGAAATGATTTTACATGAGAGAAAAAAAAACCCAGAAACAAATTAACCCACAAATGATTTTAAATAAGAGAACCCAGAAATGATTTTACATAAGAGAAAAAAATTAACCCAGAAATGCTTTTATTATTGTTCTGTTCTAAAATATATCAAAGTAAAATGTAGCCGTTGATGCCTTTTGCCTTTTGGGGTTTCAGTTGCAGATGAACCACCGCAGGGAGAAAAGCACTAAACCTCTGTCGCCAGTCGTTGAAAGAAGCTTGCCTTCGCCGATGATACCTTTGCCTTTTGGGGTTTCAATTGCAGATGAACCACCATAGGGAGAGAAACACTAAACCTCTGTCGTCGGTTGCCGGAAGAAGCTTGTCTTCGCTGATGATGCCTTTTGTTTTTGCCCATTGGAGAGGATAGCAAAACGAAAGGTTTAGGTAAAAAATGGAGAGATGCGGGAAAGAAGAGAATGAAAGTTTTTTCACAAAAATACTTTGAATGAGGAATGACTAACGGTGTTCATGTTAAACGCCCGTTTAGAATAAGGGATGCACACACACTTACAGATGTATGTCATCCTCTAATGTTCGAACGGTATCTGAACCCATCACGCTCCGAACCCATAAAAAACCACTCAACCTAAAATCTTAAGCGGTTAAAAGAATTATTTGATAAATTTTTATTCTCTAACAATAGCCCATCTGATCGAACCTTAGAACTTTGGAGTAAAAGGGCTTCACTGCCAACCTCATTTTAAACAATGCCAAGGTGACGTTTAGATTGGGATTTGAATGAGAAATTGGGATTGGTGATTTGGTGGGACCCCCAAACCCCATCACCCTGCGTGGGAGGTTTGTGGACGAGACAATTCTCTTCAAGACTGGGCCCATTTAATTCAAATCTACAGTCCGTCCACAGATACAAAAATAGACGAATCATGGGAAGATAAAGATAAAATGAAACAAGGAATAAGAGAAGAATGGCAATATTAGAGAACAGGGCTAGATCCGGTAATCACATCTTATCATTTTTGTCAGTGACTGAAATTCTTCAAGATGAAACATAGGACAAGAAAATGTTAATAATTACGCAAATTATTACACTCTAAACAGGTCAAACAAGGGCAATTTGAAAATATAAAAACTAGGTTGCGGTGGGAGAGCCCGTATGGGAACGGGACCGGATCTGTTCCTCACACAAGACGCCTCACACTGACCTCACAAGTACATCCCACTGTTTATTAGGAATATCTTCTGTAATTATGTACGGTTAGGGTAGATGTTGATGTGCCTGTGAGCTGTGAGGTACGTTGTGAGCGCTAATCAACGCGCATGGCTGCCGGGGCAGCACCGTGCCGGATTGAACTATCCATCCATTCAGCTCATAAAAGCCAGTCTCTCTCTCTCTCTCTCTCTCTCTCTCTCTTCTTTCTCTCCCTCGCTCGGACACAAACCGCCTGTGTGGCCCTCTGCATCTTCGCATTCAATGTAAGTTTTGCCCCCTCTCTATTCTCTCTTTGCCGTCAGCATCTTCGCATTCAAAGTAAGTTTTGCCCCCTTATACTTTTTAGAATGTTTGCTTCAAATGGTTCCAAGCCTATTAGACTTTTCGAATTTTTCTTTTTCTGTTTGAGGGTTGGATTCGTAGATATTGACTCAGATAAAATGAATTGGGTCTCAAGTAGATATTGTTTCTGATTATTGGTTTTAGAGATCTTATTTCTTTAATTATACCTTATCTGGGCTTTCATTAGCTTGGTTTTTACACACTGAATGAGAAAGTACATGTCAGGCGCCATGGCTTGTTCGATATCTTTCTCATCAAGCAATGTTCAAGCAACTAGGTGTTTATCTGGTAAGCAATATGTTGGATTGAGACCATCAACATTTGTGAAGTTTGTCAGTGCTGGGCATGCGATCAAGACACAGTCTCGACCCCTCTTGGTTATAAGAGCAAGCAATGAACAGGAGACATCAAAAAGATCTGGATTGAGCATCGAGGAATGTGAAGCTGCTGTTGTAGCTGGAAATGTTCCTGAAGCACCACCTGTTCCTCCTAAACCAGCAGCACCTGTTGGGACACCTGTTGTGTCTTCACTTGTAAGTATGACTGGTCTTGATAATTAACTTAGCTGCATGCCTGGAGAAAATAAAATAATGAAATTTAGGTAATGATGTTGGTAGTTAACCATGGAAGGCAGGCTGGTCAACTTGGTAAATTTTCTACTCAGAACCCCCTTTTAAGTTTTAAATTATCATAACCTTAATGTACTAGTTTAGAAGACTGGTATTCTGTGGTTTTGGTATTTCTTGGGTTCTGGTTTTTTATAATTGAAAGTTCTGGGTTTTTTTTGCTATTTTATTTGAGATAAGGAGGTATAGTTACTCTAGGCAATTGGACATATTCTAACCCCTTTCTGGTTTTTCTTTTTCTCCCATATGGTGGTTTCTATCAGCCACTTAGTAGGCGTCCTCGTCGTAACCGGAAGTCACTTGCATTGCGATCAGCATTCCAGGAAACAAATATCTCTCCCGCAAATTTTGTATATCCACTTTTCATACATGAAGGTTGGTAGTGGTAGAGGGAACCTTCTGTCTTCTATTCATTTTATTGTTTTCATTTCTTTCCTGCACTTTTGTTTCTTTTTCTTTTTTTTTTTCTTTTTAATACAGACATGCCTATCTTTGGACCTGCATATTTTTTTTTGTTTCTAATCTTACAAGCATGCAGGCGAAGAGGACACACCAATTGGAGCCATGCCTGGGTGCTATAGGCTTGGATGGAGACATGGTCTTGTGGAAGAGGTACTTTTATCCAGTTTTACTTAGAATAGCACATGGTCTGTTTGCTTTTACCTCCAATCCAAATAAAAGGGAAGAAACGAAAAAATGTTAGCGTGAACCAATAATTACATGAAAAATTTTGAACAAAACGAAGAAACCTTTGAAATCTTCAGACAGTACAACTATATCTATTGGCCTGAGAGGACTTTTCTCATTGCTTTTCATGTTTTCTCTTTTTGTTTTGGAATAATTATTTATTTTGGAGTACCTATAGGTCTTTTTTATTAGTTGTAATCCAATCAATACTTCTTTCAGAATAAGGTCCAATGCTATGTTAACTATGAGATAATTCTATGGCTTATCATGTATCTTTTGGTACACGGGTATCCACTTTTTATCATAGTTTAATGCATATTCTCATTTTTATGAAAAATAAAAAGGTATGTAAATTTTGCTTCTCTACATTGGCATTATGGGTTTTCTTTTTCCTCTTCTGTAAAATTACAAATTATGCTTATCATTACATGGCAAAATGTAGTTTACCATTATTGGAATATTTGATTTTACTGCTTTTGTAGTGATGCACTTATTCTACAATTAAGTACTAGGAAATTGCACAAGTTGTATGGTTTTAATTGCACTAGTAGAAATTCTGAATCCTGAGAAAGCAGTTTATCTGTCTAGCAGTTACCATTACCATTGGGAAGAACTTGATACATAAACCACTTATAAAGGTTTATTGGTGGACAATGCTTCCAAATGAACCTGCACAGAAGCATGATCAGAACCCTATACCTTTCTAGCTTGGTTTTTCCTTCCTTTTGATACAGTGCTGCTATTTATTTGGGAAACATGTTTCTTACCAAAGGTGAATCTGACTAGAAAAAATGCCCTTAACATGCTAGGGTAAGTTCTTTGTTGTAAAATCCATAACTTACTGGGGCAAGTTCTATATTGTATGGTAATTTTTTTGTTGTAACAGGAGCAGATAATTGTCCTATTATTTGTCTCTTCAGTAGTTGTTGTAAGATAAAGTAATCACTTAACAGTCCTTTAGCAGGATACGTCTAAGTAATTCTTTTTCCTGTTCCAGGTTTACAAAGCTCGGGATGTTGGTGTTAATAGTGTTGTGCTTTTCCCCAAAGTTCCTGATGCATTGAAGGTTCCTCTTTCTCTCTCTCTCTTTCCCATCCTCCCAATTTTCTACAGTGTTCTAATGAATGAGGATTAATGTAAAATATTAGCATGCTGTTCTTTCAGTCCCCCACAGGAGATGAAGCATACAACGATAATGGTCTAGTGCCTCGAGCAATACGTCTACTCAAAGACAAGTATCCAGACCTTGTAAGAAAAGATATTTCATGTCCTATGCTCATTTCAGTATGGAAATGTGGTAATCATATAGATGCTTTAATTTCTTTGTTAAATTACTGATCAAAATCAAAATTTTTTTCCTTTAGGTTATATACACTGATGTTGCTTTGGACCCATATTCCTCTGATGGACATGATGGTATTGTTAGAGAAGATGGTAAGATGGATATCTGAAGGTTTTCATTTTCTTCAAAACTTGACCTTTTACTTTCTATATATATCAATTTTGATTTGCTAAGAGAATATCCTTGTCTATAATCTAATATTTTCCATCCTTGTAATATTATAATTTTGATTATGTTCTTACCCTTGCATTTTTATAACTTCTGTTTTTTTTTTAAGTAAAATACCATATTAGCAGTTATAATCGAATTTGTTTGATAAATGATTAAATGTAAAGTGCTAATTTTCAAAATTAGTGTTGACCAATTTCAAATGGAAATAGGAAACTTGATCTCGACTCAATAAGAGCTTTTCTTTCCCCTTCAATCTCCTCATGCTTTTGGTTCCGTCAGTATATTTCAACTACTTGTGGGACATGAGTAATGGCCATTACTTGGTGTAAAATATTGGACTGAAAGCTGTGACAACATGGATTTGAGTTTGAGAGCAGCCACTTCATGCAAAAAATTGCAGAGATTAGGTTTGAATCCAGCCTACCCCTCCCAAGACCCCATATAACCCAAACCAGCTTAAGGTTACCTTTTTTATGGGACTTGAGCTTAGGCTACATTTGTTACACCAGTATCACATTGACTGCTGCCATTCTACTAATCAGCACCATTGCCAACTACTGAATTTGTCATGACCAGAGCCTACTTCTTACATAGGAGGGAAAAAAAAAATCTAAGAAGCATGTTTTGGTCGCTACATTTCATGAGGCCATCCAATCCAAAAGGCTTTCTACAGATTGAATTGCCACTGGACATGTCTGTCGTTACAAGGATTGACATGTGGATTTGTCATCATTTATTACATCGTTAGCATCGTTGACCTTAACTCTTATCTATTCCCATCTATCTTCCAGAGCCATCATGTTGACCAATTTCATTACTGATTGCATCTATTATCCATTTAACACAACTGTTTCAATGCTATATTCTGACCAAAATCTTTTTCTTTGATGGAATTCACAATGGCATCATTAACTGTTGCAGTTTCTCTCTCTCTCTCTCTCTCTCTTTCAGACAAACATACTTCATCCTCCACCTACATGCACAATGAATAAATAAAAAGGAGAAAAATAAAACAAAATAGTCACGAAAAGAAAAATATAAAGAAAAAGCCCTTTGTTCTGTCTTTACATAGTAATTTCCAAGACTAAATCCTCCAAGTTTTCCTTGTGTCTGTTTGGTTATCAATCCCTGTTTCTGTTTGGTGGTTCTAGTGGCTGGTCTTAATGCTGTCCTACACAGTGTAAGTCTGCACTTATCATCTTGCCCATTCTTGCAAGTTTACAGTTATTTTTGTCTTCCTATGTACACAACTTGTTTTTTTTTTTTATTTTTTATTTTTTTTATCATTTTGGCTGTAAATCATGTTCCATTATACTCCTCCACCATGGCCATTCCGTTTGTTAAATATCATTGCTTTGACCCACATCTCCTATTCTCATTTGGCTTTCTCCCATACCAGTCTTTCAGCTTGTACCAGATCATGATCCAGTTATTGGTCCCCAACGAACATTACAGAACCATCTTAGTCAACTTTCATTTTGTCACCTAGTGGTGCTATCCTTAGCCTTCCATGTACTGAATTACTAACTATACCATTTATAAGTTGGCTTCACTGTCTTCTTCCCTTTCTTTATTACTCTATACTTTCAGTTATTTCCCTGTTTCTAGTTGCTAGTTAGGTCCTAAAAGTTATAGCCCCTTATCCTCTCCTTACAGTACTTGTCAACATCTAAGTTATGCCACCATCTTCCCCAAGATGATCTCTCCTGCCAATTTTTAATAGGGTTGGCCATTTCCATCTCGTTAACAGATATCTGTAACCATTGCTCTTCAAGTTTGCTAGTACAATGGCATTAAAGTTCCATCTCTTTAACAGATGTCCATAGCCATGCTCTTCAAGTTTACTAGTACAATGGCATTAAAGTAAAAATTTATTTATTCTTAGTGGAGAAATTTAGGCATAATAACAATACCATGTCATTTGATGGTAATTTGATCTTCCATTTAGTTGGCATAAAATTTATACTATGTTTAGGGGTCAGGTCTAGGCTTCAAAATCTTATAGTAGAGAACCATCTACATTAGTTATAAGAATCACATAAATATGATTACTGATCCGATTCCATTTTCCCAATAATTCCAGGAGTGATAATGAATGATGAAACAGTTCATCAGTTATGTAAACAGGCTGTCTCCCAGGTAATTTAAAAAAATTTGTCATTCCTGTTATATTTGCACTTTTTCCCAGGGTTACTTTCTACTAATTAATTTCTTATTCTGTTTTCTTGGCTGTGTCAATAGGCTCGAGCAGGAGCTGATGTTGTTAGTCCCAGTGACATGATGGATGGCCGTGTGGGAGCAATTCGAGCATCTCTGGATGCTGAAGGTTTTCAACATGTGTCAATCATGTCTTATACAGCAAAGTAATTTACTCATACTTCCTGTTATACGATCTGTCTTGTGCTAATTGACACCTACCTAAGAAGTTATATCATATAGCATCGTATAAAGCTGAATAGTCTGACAGAGTGGAAGCACATTATTCGAACTATTGTGAGGGCACATGCTATGCATGTGTGCAAGTAAAGGGTAAAGATATAAGTTGATATTATATAATCAAAATTATCTTTTATGACCTGCATCAAAACCAGGGCAAGTATCCGCTTTATAACTGTATAGATGACTATAATCTTTAAACACATGGTAAGGTAATGTTTCTATATCCACACAAAATTGGCTTGTTGGTTGACCCAGAAAGCAGGCTTTCCTGTAGTTCAATGTGTGAATTTATTCAATGTGACTCGGAACCTTGAGGCTGTGTTTAAATTGGAAATAGAAACAGAAAAGAAGAAGAGACAAGCAATGTGACTGTGCCTTACAACCAGAGAACAATAGAGTTTTTGTTGTATTCTTTGCCATTTTAGTATATTTTTTAACTAATTTGGGGGCTCTTAATTCTCCAAATCTTGTTACTGATAAAAAATAAACTCCAAATCTCTCAGATTTTGCACTTAAATCTCACATTTCTACTCCCCCCTCTGCCCAAACCAATATTCAGACACAGATGGAAAGAATCATCGAACCATGATGATTCTTAATCAAAGCAACCAGTTATGATTCATGTGAACTGTCTGTGTTTATGCCAAATGAATCTTTTGAGAATATGGTTTTATCTTTTTTTGAGAGGATACAATAACTTTCACTAAAAATAATAGAGAAAGATTACAACTGCCACCATCCAAGGTCCGGATGGTGGCATCCTATTACCTTTTACTTATGACAAAAACTGTCTCATAAACAGGCCCAAAACAATTTTTGCCTATTGACCTGTTGCTTTGCTAAAGCATCAGCCATACCATTTGCTGATCTTCTTGCCCAATTAAACCTCACCCTAATCTCCCTTTCTAAGCTTGGGATTTCTCTTAGCTGTTGTCTGAAAAGCCACATGCCCAAGCTTCTAGTTTGCATCCAGCCTATTACCAGTTTGGAGTCTCCCTCCACTTCTAACTGTTGCAATCCCCATTGTTTTGCCAATCGAAGACCTTGGAGTAAAGCAAAAACTTCTGCCCTTAGGGACTCCTACCCCTACAGGGCCTGAACACAGGGCCAGCACTGTACCCCCCTCATCTTTGAAAACACCCCTATACCCGAGGGGCCTGGGTTGCCTAGAGAGCTTCTGTCAAAATTCAGTTTCACTCTAGAGAAAGGTGGCAGGGTCCAACTTTCTTGAACTAAAGGGGAGAAGGATGAGGAACAAACCACACTCCATCCTGTAGTGAAGTCAGTAAAGGAAAAGTCTTTAAAAAGCTCCAAAGATTTCAGCCAATGTATGATCCTAGTAGTGTTGCCCTCTATAAGTGCTTCCTTGGTTCTTTCATGCCCTTGGAAAATCCTATTATTTCTCTCCTGCCACACTACCTTGGTTCTTCAGTCCCAAATCTCAAGAACCCTCATTCACACGAATAGAGGAAATGACCTTCAATTTGTTTAAAGAAAGAGAATTCATAACTGGGAAACTGTCCTTAAGAGGAACATTCCCAACCCAAGTGTCCTCCCAAAACAAAATTTTGTTACCTAAGAAAGCATCATACCTTATGGAAGGTTGAAAAGAAGGTAAGACTCCAACAATTGCTTTCCAGGGGTAAAAGTGAATTGCCTTGGGGTCAACACCAGTATCCCATCCATTTGCTGCCATACCATGAATGCTTACTACCACCTGATGCCACAAGCTCTCCTGCTCTAAAGGGAAATCTCCATAACCACTTTCCTAACAAGGCTAGGTTTCTTAATCTAATATTACTAATACCTAAGCCCCCTTCCTCTCGCCTCCTAGTGACAATTTCCCACTTCACTAGATGATCCTTTTTTGTCACCCAGTTTCCAAAGAAAGTCCCTCATCAGCTTTTCAATTTGACTTGCTATCTTAACAGGAATCTTGAAAGTGGACAAGAAGTATACCGGTAGGTTGGCCAAAGTAGACTTGATTAGAGTGATTCTACCCCCTAGAGAGATGTAATTTCTCTTCCAGCCTTTTAATTTCTTTGTGAATATTTCCAAAACTGGGTGCGAAAAACTCTCTAACCTAGGATTTCCCTCTAGTGGCAAACCCAAATAAACCATAGAGAATGTGGTTTATAATTTTTCTGTTTTTTTTTTCTTATAATATTTTCCTTAGTGACTTTTAATAAACATAAAGAAGTATATTTATGTGTGTAGAGAGAGCAAGAATTTTGAAGTTTTGACTGCTTTTTTTTTTTGAAAAAAATGCAATAAAATATAAAAATGAAGGAAAAAGAATAATACACACGGTTGGTTTTCCAATAAAAAGGGAAATATTGATTTTTGCACCTTAGGCTAACTATTTTCTATCTTTCTCATGATGTAGCATACCTCATATTTATATATCTGACTATATTGAGTCTCACTTTTATATCTGCCCTGTTTGGAGCAATTCATCACTATTATCTTTTTCTATGTTGGTCTAATGAGTGTTGTCAACAGGTATGCAAGTGCTTTTTATGGTCCATTCCGAGAAGCTTTAGACTCAAACCCTCGTTTTGGAGACAAAAAAACGTATGAAGCTCATAAATGTTCCTTTTATTGTTCAATTTGGATTTTATTTTATTTTATTTTTTTGTACGTGATGCTTACTGTTGCATGTTGTTAGAGTTGGCTGTTGAGGGGTAGTATAGTCAATTTACATTGTTTTATATGCTGATGTAGTTACAAGTAGATCATAAATTAAGTGATGTGTGCCACACTTAAGTGAGGGCACAATAGACTTTGTGCAATGTTTTAGAAAGTTATAGATAGAATTGGCCGACTTGAGAGGGAGAACTCTAGTTTGAACCAGACTTTGTTTTCTCTCCTTCTCCTTCTCCTCTTCTCTTCTCTTCTCTTTCTTCTAATCTTTCTCCAGTATTTATTTCTATTCATTATTTCGAACCTAAGAATATCACTGGTCTGAACTTTATCATGGTATCAGAGCCAATATAATCCAGTTCAGACCAACCCAGTTTTCTCCTTTTTAGTGCCTATCCTCCTAGGGTTTTGCTGGTTTCTCACTAACCGATAGGAGATTCGCAGAGAGGCTAAAACGGAGTGATCATTTCTATGTATGGAGGTTTCCATGCCTCCAATGGGTGGTGTTGTGGCTGTTTTGTGTGGTTGGTAGAAAACCCTCCATTCGATTCGAAGAGGGCTGGTTTCAGTGGTGTAGTTGAATGACAGCACAAGTCTAGTTTGTGGGGGTTCAAATAGGTAGGTTGCATGAGTGTTATAGGGAGGAATAGATTTCGATGTGTTGCAGAACCTAATACTATGTATGTGAGGTGTATTTTGGTGGTTTATGGTGCTGGAAGTGGAAGACAGCAGTGTGTTATTGCTGAAAGTGGTGAACAAAAGTGAGTGTTGTTGCTGAAACTTGTGAAATATGTACTCTAACAATAATAAGCTGTTGGGGTGTAGTGTTGTGACTCTTTAGTGAAGTGGAGTGACAGATTAGTGATAGTTTTTTTGGCAGCCATGGGAGACAACAGTGAAGGCAAGTCTAGTGTAATGGTTCCTTTTGATTATCTGAATGTGCAGATGACATCTATCCAACTAAATGGTGATAATTATGTGCCTTGGGCTAAGTCTGTTGAAGTTTTTATGAAAGCTAAGAAGAAAGTGAGGCATGTGAAGGAAGATAAACCCTTAGATGACTCTCAGGGGTACGATAAGTGGGAGCAAGAGTATGCACAAATTATGACATGGTTATGGAATAGTATGGAACTCAAGATCAGTGTGAACTTTATGTTCTTAGATACAACCAAGGAGGTTTGGGATCATGCAAAGAAGCTTTATTCTGGACAAGACAACACAACTAGGGTTTACTAACTATATCAAGAGTATTTTAATCTGCAACATGGTAATCAAAGTCTTGAGGAATATTATGCTAACATGAGAAATCGTCGGAATGAGTTGTATGTGTATCACCCCCTTACATTTGATGTCAAGATTCAGTAACAACAGAGAGCAATTGGATGTCACTAGATTTTTAGTAGGGTTAAAGTTTGAATATGAACTAGTGAGAACGCAGATACTAGGAAGGTTTGCTCTTCCCTCTCTTGAAGAGGTGTTTGCTTGTCTCTAGAGGATCTTGGTTGAACCTATAGAGAACTCCACTATATCAGATAGGTCTGCGTTTGTAGTCACAAGAGGGGGAGGCCGTGGAGGTAGAGGAGCCCAAGAGGTTCAGCCTGGTGGTGGTGGACCCATGTATGGCCGTGGTGGTGGTGGACCCATATACAATTGTGCTGGTGGTCATATTGGAGGTCGAGATTCAGGGGGAGCTCGTGGTAGAGGACGTAGTAATGGTCCGAGGAGGTGTACACATTGTGGTATGGAGGGACATACTATCAACTATTATTATGATCTACATGGACCACCTTCAACGTGGGCAAATCATGTAGTGACTACTGGTGGTGGTTTGAGACAAGAAACCCAACAAACTGATCAGATACCCCGTACATCTACGAATGCCTCCAGAAAAGAGATGATGAGTGTCCCACGTGATGAGTGTGAACGGTTTATTCAATCTACATCTCAGTAGAACACAACTACCCTTGCACACTTAGGTATGGCTTGTCTGGCATCTAAACCTTCCCACTGGGTTATTGATTATGGAGCCTCCGATCATATGACTGGGACTCCAGGTGTGCTTTCCTCCCTTTCTTAGCCCTCCACATCACATTTTGTTACCCTTGCTAATGGTTCCATATCTTCCATATGTGGTGTTGAGAATGTTGACATAGATTCATTATCCCTATCCTCAATTTTGTATGTTCCCAAGTTTCCCTTTAACCATATGTCTGTTAGTAAATTGACCAAGTCTCTTAATTGCTCTATCACCTTTTACCCTTCATCTTGTGTTTTTCAGAATCTCAAGATGGGGATGAAGATTGGTGAGGGCATGAAGTTGGTGAATTGTATTATCTTGATGGAGGTGGTTCGAGAATAGCCCTTCAGACATCTCTTTCTCCTCTTTAGTGGCATTGCAGACTTGGTCATCCGTCTCTCAAAGCACTTAAGTTACTTGTTCCGTCGTTGAGTAGTCTTTCTACTTTGGATTGTGAGTCGTGTCAGTTTGGGAAACATCATTGTGTTCCCTTTAGTCCTAGGGTTGATAGTCGTGTGTCGAGTCCTTTTCTTTAGTCCATTCGGACATCCAGGGTCCGAATAGACTAATGTCATATAATGGTTACAAGTACTTTGTAATTTTTGTTGATGATTATTCAAGGATGACATGGCTTTACCTTATGAAAGGAGTGAATTTTTTACTATTTTTCAAAAAATTTATGTTGTGATTCACAATCAATTTGGTGTACACATTAAGATTCTTCGTTCTGATAATGGTCGAGAATACGTTTTTATACACCGTTTCAGGAATATTTGGAACAACATGGCATTATCCATCAAACCTTGTGTGCCTACAGCCCTCAACAAAATAGGGTGGCTGAAAGAAAGGATTGCCACCTTTTGGAAATTGCTCGATTCCTTTTGCACCATATGAATGTTCCCAAACACTTTTAGAGGATGTTGTGCTTACATCTTGTTTCCTTATTAGCCGCATGCCCATGTCTATCCTCGAAGGTCATTCTCCATTTTCTGTTTTGTTTCTTGCTTTGTCTCCTTTCTCTCTTACCCCCAAGGTTTTTGGGTGTGTGTTTTGTCCATAATTGCATCTTTCTTGGCTATTCTAGGACTCGGAAAGGGTATAAGTGTTATAACCCTAGTTCCCGACGTTCTTTTGTGTCCTGATGTTACATTCTTTGAGTCCGTTCCTTTTTTTTTCCTGGGTCAGATGCCTTTGTTTTTCCTCCACCTCCACTTCCGATTCCCATGGAGGACCCCTTTCCTCTTGTTCCAGTTGTGACCAAGTCTTCGCTTCCAGTGCCACTTCCTGTTGAACGACCACCAATCTGGCAAGTGTATATGCATCGTAATGTATCGGCTCCTCCAGCTTCATCACTATCAACAGATCTGGCAGCCTTAACCCATGTTTCTGACCTTGATCTCCCTATCGCTTTGTGGAAAGGTAAACACAGTTGCACTCTTCATCCCACTTCTAATTATGTCTCTGTATCTCAACTTTCTGCTCCCCATCTTTAGTTTGTCTCCCTATTGTCCTCTGTTTCTATTCCTACAAATGTCCAGGAAGCATTTACTTCTCCAGGGTTGTGCCAAGCAATGGAGGAAGAACTCTTGGCCCTATCTTATAATCATATGTGGGAGCTTACCACTCTTCTGCCTGGTAAGCATGTTGTTGGTTGTAAGTGGGTGTACACTATTAAGTTTTTATTTGATGGGAGTGTTGAGCGGTTGAAAGCCCGGTTAGTTGCTGAAGGTTATTCACAGATGTATGGTGTAGATTATAAAGACACATTCTCCCTAGTTTCCAAGATTGGCTCCATTCGTGTTTTGATCTCCCTTGCTGTAATGTATGATTGGTCTTTGTTTTAGCTTGACATCAAGAATGCATTTTTACATGGTGACCTCATTGAGAAAGTATATATTGAGCAACCACTAGGGTGTGTTGCTCAGGGGGAGGATGGTAAGGTGTGTGTAGACTCAAGAAGGCTATTTATGGGCTTAAACAGTCTCCTCGTGCATGGTTTGGCAGATTTAGTAAAGTAGTGAAGAAATTTGGCATGACACAGTGTTAGGTTGACCATTCCATATTCAACTATGAATCCAGTGCATGAAAGATTTTATTGGTGGTATATGTAGATGATATTGTTACCACTGGCAGTGGCAGGTTGGGGATTAATAGGCTAAAGACCTTGCATGATCACTTCTAGACAAAGGCCTTGGAAAATTAAGATACGTCTTAGGGATAGAGGTAGCAAGATCCAAACATGGTATTAATTTGTGCCAGAGGACATATGTTCTTGATTTGCTAGGGAGATGGGGCTGTTAGGTGCCAGACCAGCTGAAACACCCATGGAACCGAATGTCAAGTTGAGTAGTGATGCGGGTGAGGAGTTTGAAGATCCTAGAAGGTATAGGAGGTTGGTAGGTAAGTTGAACTACCTAACCATCACTTGGTCTGACATTTCATTTGCAGTTGGTGTAGTAAGTTAGTTTATGTAGAATCCTCGGATCCCACATTGGGATGCGGTGCTAAGGATTGTACGGTACTTGAAGGGAGCTCCAAGTCATGGCTTGTTATATAAGAGTGAAGGGAGCCTTGAAATAGAAGGACACACTGATGTTGACTGGGCTGGTTCCATATCTGACAGAAGGTCCACAGCAAGGTATTGCACGTTTCTTGGGGGCAATTTGGTGACATGGAAGAGTAAGAAGCAAACAGTGGTAGCAAGAAGCAGTACTGAAGCTGAATATAGAGCCATGGCACACACAAATGGCTGAAGCATCTCTTAGAGGAAATGGGATACTCGATTAACACACCTATGAAGTTGTATTGTGATAACCAAGCTGCAGTTCATAATTCTTCCAATCCTGTGTTTCATGAAAGAACGAAGCATATAGAAATTGATTGTCACTTTGTAAGAGAGAAGGTGCTTAGTGGAGTGATATGCACAACATATGTGAATACAAGAAATCAATGGGCATACTTGTTTACTAAAGGGTTGAGTTGGGGAAGAGTGGACTACATATGTAACAAGCTGGGACTATATGACATATACTCACCAGCTTGAGGGGGAGTGATAGAATCGGCTGATGAGGGGTAGTATAGTCAAATTACATTGTTTTATATGCTGATGTAGTTACAAGTAGATCATAAGTTAAGTGAGGGCACAATAGACTTTGTGCAATGTTTTAGAAAGCTATAAATAGAACTGGCCAACTAGAGAGAGAGGACTCTAGTTCCAACCAGACTTTGTTTTCTTTCCTTTTCCCCTTCTCTTCTCTTCTCTTTCTTCTAATCTTTCTCCAGTATTTATTTCTATTCATTATTTCGAACCTAAGAGTATTACTAGTCTGAACTATATCACATGTTAACTTGTCTTTGAAAACTAAAGTTACCAGATGAACCCAGCAAACTACAGAGAAGCTTTGGTTGAGACCCGTGCGGATGAGGATGAGGGAGCTGATATCCTTTTGGTAAATATTTTCTTTTTCTAGGAACTTCTATTGCCTTGACTTCCTGAGAGAAGTCTATTCATACTAAAAGTAATCTAACTGGATTCACAGGTGAAACCTGGACTTCCATACTTGGATGTTATACGGCTTCTTCGAAATAACTCCTCACTGCCAATTGCTGCATATCAGGTACTTTAGTTACACTTATTCTTCCCAAAAGCATCTTGTTGTACATGAGGTTCCGAATTTCACCTTTTTCATTCAGGACTGCTGCTAATTGTGGTACTTTTTTTTTTCTTTACGAAAATGACATGTTCTGTTCATTTTGAAGTATCTAGGTTTTGTATCTTCATAATCATAATCCTGAGTTTGCAATCCATTGGGTCTGTCTTGTTTATTTTTTTCATTATTTCCTTGATAACTTGACTCTGTTCGCCATTTTTTACCTATGCCAAATTGCTTTATTTGGTATTTATATCTGTCTAAATGTTTCGCTCTTGGTAAATTGAAGTTACACCCATTGACAATTGTTGAATTCATGGATCAAATTTGATTCAGTAGGATCTAGCCATTTTTATCCACTAAGAACATTAAGGAGATTTATTCTGTCTTGAATCTGTTAATGATTTCTATACTGAACTACTAATGGAAGAAACAAACCCAACTATGCAAGGGATGGAATTCTGAAGAAAGAAACTTAAGATACACTAGCTCATTTTTGGTAATCTGACTTAAAGTGAATATTGGCATGCATGTATATATATATTTTTTTTAAGTTCAAAGTTAGGAGATATTGATGCGTCCCTGTTATGATAATAATCCAGTTTGTCATTTGAACTAGGATCTTTGTTACTTGAGCAACTAGATCCTTTTTACTACCTCTTTGAATTTGATGTCTATTTTAAGAGTCAGATGGAAACGCAAGGTAATTGATACAATTTTGGATGGGCTAGCTAGATCAGGTCTGGATATGGTATTCCTGTATAGCAAAAGTTTGGTGCTATATCTGAAAATAGTTTGGTGCTATATAATTAAATAATTCACCATATCTTAGTGATATGATTTTCAGATATTGACATGCTAGACACCCATGAACACCTGAATAATATGGTAAAAATAAGAAATTTAAAGTGACTCTTTACTGGCCGTGCCACTTATCATGATATCTTGTTTATGAGTTGGCGCCAAGGTTTATGCTGACTTCAAAACATCATAAAGATGCTACAAGGAAGTTTGGTGCTAAGTGCCAAGTTGTAGGGAGTCCTACAACTTTTAGATCCTGTGGTGGGCTTTTGAAGGTGAAGAAAGGTAATCTGGGTGATTAACAATGAAACGTAGATATGGACAATGGGGAAATAATTAGAGAGCCTGCTGTCCACTATGGAATGAACAGAAAACTGGATTCTGCAATCTGCATTAAAGCACTTCAGAATTAGGAAGAAACAAAAAAAGAATTTTGCTGTTTTAGCATACAACAGAAAGATAGATTGCTTAGAGGAATAAGTGGGACTCACAAGCTATATGAGACTCAAACAAAAAAGAATCCTCTGATTGTGTTCTTTCCACAGATGCGAAGATATAGGGAATTTCCCAAGATATATGGGACTCACAAGATCTTGGTCTCATTGGGTAGGTAACTGAAAAGCTTATCATGCAAAAATTGACAAGTTTTGATCTTAAAGATTAGAATGAATGAGAATTGACGATGCAAATTCAACTTTTAACTTTTAAAAAATATAAGGAATCTCTAAACTATTAATCTTATTAATTCCACAAGAACATTAATCTCTTGATTATGGCCTCTAAAGATTGCGTAGGCTGATGGAACCTATAGGGTTCTCAAGGGCCCCATGCATGAAACTTTGTTGTCTTTTTTTTTTTTTGAAAGGTAAAATTGTATTGTATCAAAGGAGGGAGAAGAGCCCCTCACACAAAAGGATACACACGAAGTTTAAATATATCTCTGAGTGTATATATGCATGAAAATCCAGTTTTCCAGCTAGCAAGGTGTCTTCAAGGTATCCCGGTAATACTGCTACTGTATCATTCATTATATATCTTCCATTTACAATATTTTCTAATATCATCAATGGAATTTTATTTACCTTCTTAGAGAAAAAGAGTGTGCTTGTAGCAAGTGAATTTCCATTTTTATACATTCTTGGTTCTTTTTCTTGATCAATTACATTTCTTGATTCTCAAAATTAATCATGGTAAAACATAGAGTTGGATATGTATGCATTGCCTTGTTTAGTGTGTGCTTTCATGCATATGAATGAGAATGGGGGATATTTCATTTTGGCAATTCTAGAGATGCAATAGTCATGATCCCAAGTCCATGCCTATGGTTCAATGATAAAATATATACTTCAGTCTGGCAGTTTGACACAGGTTTGAGCCTGAGAGCAGCCACCTCGTGCAAAAATTCTGGAGGTTAGGTCTATATCCAATCCAACCCTCAAGACCTCAGATAGCCAGGACCAGCATTGTGTAATGACCTTAATCCTAAAGTTCGTGAGACATCCATAAAATCATGACTATGAATAGATCATAGAAATATCCACTCCCTGCATTATAACAAAGAAAAAAAAAAAACAAAGGAAGCACAGTTTTCAATCTCCCTTGGGCCATTTTCTGTCCCTATATACAAACAAGTATCTAAATCAAATTTCATGGGAAAATAACAAGGGATTCTTGAAATCATATTAGCAAACAGAGATTTACTGGAATCTTGTCAAAGCATTAGCATCAAGATGCATCATCTTAAAATAAATATGGTATCGTATTAGCAACAACCAAAACACAGGCTATGCCAGATACGGTCCAAAATTAAGGAAAAAAGTTAAGCTGAGATGAACTGGATCAGGGCCAGCTGTTACTGCTTTGATAAAAAGCCGAGAGCCGTACTTTTGGTGGGATCTGCACTTTCATTGTAATTATGTAAGTAAAGGAACCACTGATTCGTGCCTCCCATATGCACTGGCTCCATACTCATTTTCAAAGGAGTTAAATAAAATGGAAAAGTAAAATAAAAGAGAGGAAAATTGGAAAGAAAAAGGCCCTGGTTCATTCTTGGCCTACATGCAGCAAATGTCTAGAGAACTGTATTATTTTGAGCAACAGTAAAAGCACAGTCTATCCTTGACTCTTCTGAAGTTGAAGAGACAATGCAAGCCAAGCTGAATTACGACAGGACAAACATTGATGCTGTCATAAAATAGTCTGGAGGAGTACTTGCTTTTAGTAGATGAATTTTCAAATGTTTTTTCTTACCATGGCAGTTGTATTTTCGACCACAAACCACCACTAGATCATGTCCTCATTAAGGGGCGCCCATTCTAAACGTCATGCATTCCTTGCTCTTCTTTAGTACACCTGATAGAATTATTACTTCTTTTTCTCCTGCCTTATGAATAAGTAGTTCCTTTCCTAGCAATGCTTTCAATGATATCTTAACTCCTTTCCTCCATTAAATTCAGTCTGTTTTCCTTTTCTGATCCAGGTTTCAGGTGAGTATTCTATGATCAAGGCGGGTGGAGTTCTAAAAATGATAGATGAAGAAAAAGTCATGATGGAGTCCTTGATGTGTCTCCGACGAGCTGGTGCTGATGTCATCCTTACATACTTCGCTTTACAAGCTGCTAGATGTTTATGTGGCGAGAAGAGGTGAGAAGAGATGGGGGAGTGTAATCATAATGAATCTAGAGCACTGTCAGAGTCATATGTAGCTAATATATTTAAATGTGACATGATAATCTTAGATGGGAATAAGATGCTTAAAGCTGTTACTGCACAATGTTTCAATCTCACATCACTCAAATGAAGGCAAGTGATTGCCCTTTCATCCCGGACAAAACATGAAAGTAAAATGAAGGAAGAAATGGAGAATCAAGTGAAGAGGAGAGAGAAAAGCGCTGGCATAGTCTTTATATCAATGAAGCAAATCCACAGAACTGGTAATGGACTGGTTTGAGGATTCAGCTCTGAGATGGGCTGTGTTGCAGGGGATCTCTTCGGGATCCCTCAAAGCAGTATAAGGATTATCAAGTTGCAGGTCACCAAGCATTTGCCGCAATTCAGAAGCTTCTTCTCTGAGCTGGGCATTCTCTTGGAGGACCTGGTCATGGCACTCTGAGACATGGTTCAGCTTGTCTATGAGCTGGCGGTTCTCAGTTCTAAGCCGGATGACCTGTGACCACAACTCATCCAGGTGCTTCTGCTTCCGCATCCGTGACCTGCGAGCAGATTCTCTATTAGATATCATTCTCCTCTGCTTCCTCTCATCAATGATTCTCAACTGCTGCTCATCTGCTTCATCCGAGGTTGAGTTACTGCTGAGACATGAAGACTGAGGATTGAATTCATGCACTGGAGGGGGGATCTGAGGACTAGGAAGAGGCCTTAGGAGTCTGCTGAGATGGTATAAGGGGATGTTGCTCTGCATCGTGCTAAAATTAAAGTGAGCTGTGTAGGGGCTTTGCTCTGCAGGTGCCAGGTACCTTAGTCCAGCGACCTCACCTGGCTGCATGACCTAAACTCTACGGTGAAGTTTGGGGGTTGTTTTGTTTCTTCTTGGGCTTGAGCTTGGGGAAGGAGAAAGGAAGCTTTGCCGAGAGAATTAATTGCAGGGTGTTGGAGAAGGGGGAGGGATGCACGAGGAGTGGAGGTGCTTATAGAAGGAGAAAAGTTAGATGAGTGGCCCACATTAGGCAACTAGATAAACAGTACCAAGAGTTTCTTAAAGAGCAGACAACAGACATCCATAGGTATGCCATGCACTTGATGTTGGTCATGGCATGACATGTATGCATGTGGTTGCATCTTTATACTTTGTGTGTGAGTGGGAATAACACTGGCTTTATGTGAGACATTATGGGCCCGGGTCAATGGTCGCATGCATGCATGATGCATGTGCCTCCATGGGGAATGTGGGTTAGGGGTACTAGTTAAGGTCACATAGGTATGCTTAATTATATGAGATGTGAGAGAAGTTGATGCTGTGGGATGTATAATTAATTAAAGAAATGGGGAATGTTTTGGAAAAGGAAAGGTGAGCAGAATTATATGTGGATGAAGGCAATCTTAAAAGAGTTTTTAATAGCTTTCTTCTAGTTGTAGTGAGCTGAGCCAATCACTGCATCTGTAATCGTAGTGCCTGTTTTGGGAATGGCTTTCTGGTAGCGGCTTCTGGCGCTGCAAGGTAGGAAGGTTTCATACCAAAAGTTGTGACACTGTGTAAAGTGAAAAGCCTGAAAAGCCAGAAATACATATATTTGAGCCAAAATCAACTTTCTGGTGAAGCTATTTTTGGTAGCTTTTCTGGAGTCTCGGTCAATGCAACTCAAATCAACACTGGAGCCCTTTCAAATAATGCTCTAGTACCTGTTTGGTAGGGATGAAGCGCAGTGGCCACTTTCTGAGGTGAGCAAACAGACTAACATGGTGTTTGGAAGCGTGGGCGTTTTTTGAGGCCGATTTTCAACATAAAATGTTCATGCTTCCAAGACCTGTTTTTTCACAAAAAAACATTTCTACCACGTAGGCAATGAGAAACACTATGCTGTTTGGTAAAGTGATTTTCATTACCGTTTTTCATGTATATGCTGACAGGTAAGCACCACATAGGATACATATCAGTCAACCGTTGGGGGAAATGGTTCACTAATTGCATCGGTGGTGTTCTGATTTTCGAGGCATGCCCGATTTTTTAATAATCTACTGAACCAAACAATGAGATACATGGACATTTGTTGAAATGCCTATGTGGATCCGACATGACACCGTCTTTTTGAAAAACGGCCACGGTTCCAAATATCCCCCAAGTTATTCTTGATGAAAAATCCAGAGAGACTACCAAATTGGCTGTTGGTCTGTCAATTTTTTGGAATGTCTGCTTCAGCCTGTTTAGATAATCTATCTGAAATACCTCAAACAGCTGAAACAATTTGGCTGAATGTTCAGCTTAGCCCTCCCAAACGATCTCAGGGATAGTTGACTGGGCAAGCTCCATTCCCTCACTTAGCAAAGAGCCAAAGAAAGTTCATAAAAATGTTAATGATGAGTGACGATCACTGCAAATACGACCACGATGACATAGAAGAAAATGGCCAAGGGACTCCCTAAAATGTCTAAAAGGTCCCTGGATATATTATCATTTTTCCAACACTATCCCTCAATTGGATGTTGAGAAAATGACACAACTTCAAGTTTGCCCCAATTTGTTGTCCTAAGGTTCAACTTCAACAGTCAACAATCAATAATCATGGGTTAGATGACCTCATGTTACTCCCATCCAAACTTAGATCCAGTCTCTCAAGCTAGAGAATTTCTTTAATTGTTAATTTTTTAAGCTGTATTTGGATTTTTAATCTAGTTAATGGCCTACTTGGTTAATTGAGATAAAGAAATAAAATGTATACCGGCCGGGTTGGATAGAAATCCTGAAAAAGTTATAGAGGCAGCAAGTTGCAAGCCAAATCTTCTAATTTTATATGGCTTAGTGGCCAATAGTTTATGTTTCTAGCTGTTTTATTTGTGTTTCTTTTCGATTAGTTTTGGTTCTCCACCCAGAAGCCTCTCTCGGGCTTTGAAAAGTACCTAGTTAGGAGCGAGAAAGCTGATATGTTTTCACGTTCAAAGGAAAACTCTGATAACTTTTACAGATTGATATAAGCAACAGCTAACTGTTCTTAGTCGGGTAGAAACTTCTCCAAGATGATATCTTTCATATTGTATCTTTAGAAGTCCAGATTGGCGGGAGACAAAATCATGTACAGCGGGATGAATAACTTATCACGAGTGAATACATTAGTACTTCGTATATCTAAGGCCTACATATACGGAAAACTGACATGTTCACTTGTGATAGGTTGCCTAACCTGCTGTGCATGATTTTGTCCCCAGCTCATCTGATTCCCATCCAGATCTGCTGCTCATGTTGTGTAAGATAGGCTGTATAAGCATAACCAATCATGAATGGACATGCCGATTTATGATTGGTCAGTAGCTTTGATGTACTTAGCGGAATGAGCAGCAGGTCCTGAGTGTATTCAGAAGGGCTGAAACTTTAATTAAACTGCTTAGTTTGCTCTTACTTGGCCGTATTGGAGATGCCACTAAAAATGCATCAAGTATTGCTTATATACCATCTATGTCTATGTGGGTTCCACCATGCAAAACCAAAAGCTGTCGTGGGAAAGCCCTCCCAATCCCAAACAAGCTCAGCCATTTAAGCGGCTCTCAATATAAGCCTCTTCCAGTAACTTTATACAAAAGAGATGTGACTAATAGTTTAGGAGATTATATTATCTTTTCATGGGTGGAGGAGATATGTTCTCTTTTGATTATTTTGGGTCTCCCACTAACTACTTTTTTTTTTTTTTTTTCAGGTAAATTGAGGGGACTTGAGGAGTAAAGTATCTAAGACTCGGAATATGGATCATTAAAGTGAAAGTAGGTTATTTTAAAGTGAGGGTCCATTGGATCATAGGATGTGCTTAAATGGTGAAACATATTAATCCACTCATTCATCAAGGTTTGGTGCATATAAGTTTATTGAGATTGAAACATGGATAACCTTGTGCTGAAATTTAAATTAGTGAGCATTTAACACTAAATTATTTGATCAAATCAGCTCTGTAGTACAAAAAAATCAGGTCTAATATTATATCAAAAAACCATTCTAATCTAAAATCTTAAGCGGTTAAATGAATTATTAGAATATAGGTTTTCATTAGTAAAAGGGTTTCACTACTGCTCACTTCATTTTAAACCATGCAAAAGGCTAAGGTGACGTTTAGATTGAGATTTGAATGAGAAATTGGGGTTGGTGGGACCTCAAACCCCACCACCCTGCATGGGAGGTTTGTGGACAAGACAATTCTCTTCAAGACTGGGCCCATTTAATTCAAATCTACAGTCCGTCCACAGATACAAAAATAGACGAATCATGGGAAGATAAGATAAAATGAAACAAGGAATAAGAGAAGAATGGCAATATTAGAGACCAGGACTAGTTCTTGTAATCACATCTTATCATTTTTGTCAGTGACTGAAATACTTCACCAGATGAAACATAAGGACAAGAAAATGCCAAGAATTACGAAAATTACTACACTCCAAACTGGTTAAAAAAGGGCAGTTTGGGAATATAAACAACTAGGCTGCAATGGGAGAGCCGGGCAGGGACAATATACCTTTTGAATGACGCATCAGTTGCGTACGGAGGGGGGCTCGATTTAACGCCTACCCACCCACTTCTACCACAGAAAGAGAATCGAGAGACACTGGGCGTAGGATAAATAATAATGATTTTTATCGTATGCTTTTTTTTTTTTTTATGTTTCATTTATTCAAAATCGGTTCAGAGGAATTGGTTTAAGTCCTGGCTACTCTGAATTGAATTATGGTCTGATTTGATACAAATTCTGTAGGGGCGTATCAAAAAACTCCTGACACAATAATACATATTGATATTGATACTTTTGACTTTTGCTCCGTTGGAATAGATACCAGCTTAGAATTGTTGCTAATATACAGTCAAATATTTGCGTGAGGGTATGTGAAATTTTGAATTATTATAGGTTTACAATGAAATTTAGAATTCTGAAATGGAGTGTAATATAATTTTTATTATAGTAATCGTGGGCCCGTTAACCAACACGCATGGCTGCCCGAGGCACCACCATGCCACCGGATTGAACCACTCATCCACTCAGATCAGAAAAGCCAATCTCTCTCTCCTTTCATTCATTCATTTATCATGGCACCGCAATTTCGTGGTACCCTCACTTGTACCATGTATGTGGGCTTTGTCTCCACTCCACCCCACTAAAACCAGCTTTCTACACTTGATTTTTCTCCTGGTGAGGTCATGGCTTCTCAAGTGATGGGATAGGAGGGGATAAGCTCAACATCTCAACACCATTTCCTTCTTTCAGCCTTTTGAATTCAACTTTAGCCTTTAATTTTATAATCTCTCTTTGTTAGATGAAAAGACCTGAGTTTTGTAAAGTTTTTGGGTTAAAAATTTCTTTAATATTTTTGTGAGCCTTGTCTTCTCTTACCAATCTTTGTCAAAAGATTGTTAATAAATTTCTTTTTTTGGGTGGTGGGATGCTTTGTTGAGCGATAGGAATCGAATTTGCACGCAGTTGCGAGGTCTTGATCTACTACCAATGTGGATAATAAAGTTATTTGTTCAAGTATTTTAAGGTCTGAGTATTACCTAATTGTTTATTCCTTTTATACATTGCCATCATCTTCGTCATCCTCTTCTTCCTCCAGTTGATTTCTTACAACTCTTACACCTTTTTACGTGTGACGCGGAGTTCATTCTCGATTAATGTAATCATCATTTAATTAGTATTGTGTGCCAACTAGAGAGAACCCATCTATAATAAGAGCATAGAAAATGGAAATGCATTGTGCTTCTTATAATGCATTGCACACCAAATGTTTGGTGCATCGCATTATTTCAAATAGGCTCTACAACTGCTAAAGGGGTATTTTACCAATGTGAATGCTTTTGTTTTCTTTTAGTTTAGCCATCCCATACTCATAGTCAAAGTTTAAAATATCGCAATGTATTGATGCATATTGTACAATATATATCATTCTAACGGATTATCAAAAGATGAGATTCAAAAGAAAATAAGAGTTGTGAATTTTTCTTATTGATACCGTAGCATTATCAGTTTTACAAATGGGAAACTCTATGGTGCAAAAAGATATAGTATGGTAAGAGTTTTGACTAATCGAAACCCACCCATAAATTTTAATAAATAACACCTGATTGGCTATCACGTTTATGATTCCACATGGTCATAAATTTTCGAGATATCATATCTTTTCTATAGTAGAATTCTTTACAAATTGATCTGATTATTGATTACCCTCCTAAGTTTCCCAAAATTAGATCAACTATTTATCATAAGTTGGTTCAAATAAGAACCGGATCAAGGATTTTCCAGCCTAATTAATTAATTTGTTGATACCTCTATGTTTCTTCCTCTTACCAAACCTACTAAGTGCCATATTTATTATTCCCAAGAATTCATTCTCTATATCCATTTCAATCTGTTTATCAATGTGAATTAAATTAATCACGTCACCTGTGAACTTACAATATTTAAGCAGTCAGAAACCTTTTGATCTCATTCAATGATTCTATGAAAACGAATGGAGATCAAAGTGTCGCTATGAGCTACATACATCCAGCTACTAGCTT